AAACACAGAATAAATGCACAGTCCAAGGTATTTAACATTTGATTTAGTCTCAACTTTTGTGCCACCTGTTACGAAGGTGATTGAGTCTTAGAACGATGAGTGATGCTTGAATCTTGAAAAGACGAATGAACCAAGAATTTAGGCTTTATTCATTTTACAATGAAGCCGGAATGGCTTAAACATATAAAGGAAAAAAAGAGTGTTAATAGCGGTAGAGATATGAATATGACTAGATACGTATTATAAGAAGAGTTCACAACATTCACTGCGGCTTGAAAAGGAATGAGCCATTATGTCACGCTTCTCTGGTACGCAAATTGTAAGGCCGTACACGTTGTTGTTTTTCCAAAAGAATACGCCCGTTGTTCGTTTCAGTTGTATTTTCTTCACGAAGAATATTAGGATCAGTGGTCGCATCCCCATTTACTTGTTGCTCAGGAATTGCGTCGCCCTCCGGTATTGAATTTTCAACTTGATCTATCTCTTCGCCTTTGGGTGCCAGATGATGAAGAGCAACTGTATCTTCACGTCCATTACCGAAGCGAACGTGAGCGAATTGCGGGTTACAATTCAATAGCTCCACCTCTTCAACCAGGGGATCGAATTTGGACTGACGAACACTCCGCCGGAGAAGTACTGGTCCTGGCACAGTGAGCCAAGTAGGAAGAGTTGTCCCAGATGTCGATCTTCGGTTATAGGTAAACAGTCGTTCGTGTGGCGTGGCGTTCGTTGCAGTACAGAGCAAAGATCTGATGGAATGCAAGGCGTCGAGTAGAACAGACTCCCATTGTGCCGTTGGTAGGCCCCGTGATCTTAATGCTAGAGTGATGGCACGCCAAAGTGTTCCATTGAGGCGCTCGACCTGCCCATTGGCTTGAGGATTGTATGAGGTAGTACGACTGGTTGCTACGCCTTTCTCCAGAAGAAATGCCCGTAATTCGGTAGACATGAAAGCAGCGCCTCTGTCGGTATGTATGTAAGAAGGCATACCGAAAATCGAAAACAGTTGGCAAAGGCAATTCATTACCGTTTGAGACGACATGTCGGGGCAGGCGAATGCAAAGGGGAATCGAGAATATTCATCGATCAGCGTGAGCAGATAGTGATTGCGGCTAGCTGACGGTAGAGGTCCTTTAAAGTCGATGCTTAACCTTTCAAAAGGTTGGGTTGCTTTTATGAGTTTGAAATTAGAGGGATTGTAAAATTGAGGCTTTAACTCACAGCATGTCACGCATTTACTGGTTACATTGCGCACCTCGTCAAGGGAGAATGGAAGGTTTCTCGAGCGTACAAAGTGCATCATTCGGACAACTCCAGGATGGCACATAGAGTCATGGAGAAATTTCAAGTCGCACACTGACTGCAAGGAACCGCAGAAACTACGGGAAAATGTATCAGCAGCTTGATTATCCCTTCCAGGACGATAAATGATGTCATATTGATAAGGGGATAGCTCAATTCTCCAACGCATTATTTTATCGTTCTTGATTTTGCCTTTATGAATCTTGTCAAACATGAATGCTACTGAACGTTGATCAGTGACAAGTTTGAAGTGATTTCCGAGAAGGTAATGCTTCCACTTACGAATTGCTTCAACCACGGCATAGGCTTCTTTCTCAACCGATGAATGATGTTTCTCACTTCGAGAGAGGCTTCGAGAAAAGAAGGCGACAGGTTTACCATTCTGGTTTAATGTAGCTGCAATTGAGACATCTGAAGCATCTGTTTCAACAACAAGGGGTGCTTTCGGATCAACTACCACAACGACTGCACGTTCTAAGTCGTCTTTCAGTTTGTTAAAAGCATTTCGAGTTTCGATATCAAGAGGGAAAATCCGATTATTTACCAATGGGTGGATTTTATCTGAGAAGCGAGGGATCCACTGTGAATAATCAGCAAATAATCCAACGGCCCGTTGTTGAGATTTGATATCTGTGGGTGGTTCTAGATCACGAAGAGGTTTTAGCCGATCGGGATCTGGTTTGATAACCCCCTTTGAAACTTCATAACCGAGTAATTGTATGCTTCTGCTTGAGATCACACTTTTGGAATCATTAAGGGTTATTCCATAATTGCGTGCTGCTACCATAAACTTGTTTAGATTTTTGTCGTGTTCCTCCTGAGTTTTGCCGCAGATAGTGACATTGTCAATGTAGGCAAACGTGCTTGTGAGTTGTTCTTTACTGATCAATTCATCGATAATGCGTTGAAAACAAGCTACGCCATCGGTAACACCAAAAGGAATTCGGCAAAATTGGTAAAGTTTCCCACAAGCCTCGAAAGCAGTATATGGTTTATCTTCGTTCCTTAGGGCAATTTGATGATAAGCGTTCTTCAGATCAAGAGTGCTGAATATGTCATATTGTGCGATTTTTTCTATCATTTCGTCAATCCTAGGTAATGGGTAAGCATCCAGAAAAGTGAATCGATTGATTGTCTGACTATAATCAACTACCATCCTCTTTTTATGGCGTTCGTTTGACGTAACAAGAACTTGAGCTCGCCAAGGAGAATTAGAAGGTTCAATAACACCTTCTTGCAGTAACCGGTTGACTTCGGTGGAAATAAAACTTTCATCTTCACGAGAATAACGCCGGGATTTTATCGCGATCGGTTTACAGTCTTTTGAAAGATTTTCAAACAGGGTAGGCAGGTCGACGCGAACACAAGGTAGACCACAGAGAGAAAAAGGCGGCTTTGATCCCCCAAAAGGAATCTCAATGTGTTTGTGAAGTTTTAAAAAATCATGTCCAAGAAGGACGTCTGCACATAAATTATGAAGAATGGAAAATTTGAATAGATCATAAGTGTGGTTTTTATAGCAGATGGATAGAAAACAATGTCCTTCAGTATGACTAGTAAGATTCGTACTCGCCATTGTGATTCTGTTTCGAGACTTATGGACTTTCCAGTTATACTTACGAACAACTGAGGAAGAGATGTAGCTCTCACTGCTTCCGGTATCCACTAGAGCTTGCATTGATTTCCCATTGACAGTAAGCTGCGTAACAGCATCAGTGAGACTTTGAGGTGCTGAAGCCACAACGAGAGATGAAATTATAGAGTTAACTGAAGATGGACCTTTTTTCGTAGATGGCGCAGACCTGCAAACCTTCTGAAAATGTCCTTGCTTGCCACAAGCTTTGCAAACTGCATCACGGGCGGGGCATTTGGAACGAGGATGTCTACGATTACCACAGAAAAAGCATTTGGATTCAACGGCAGCAATGGTTGTTTCATTGACGGAGGGTGTGGAATCTGATGAATGAGGTACATCATGTAAAGAAATGGACGCGCAAGGTGTAACAGGATTGTTGTATGACTGCGATTGTTGATGTGCCATCTCTAGAGCTCGTGCTTGATCGTATGCCGCTTGAAAAGTTAAAGTACGCTGTTCTAATAGCCTCTGGCGTATCATCGAAGACTGTATACCTGAGATGAATGAATCACGTAGAGATTCGTTACGATGTTCTTCGGCTGTAACTGCCCTGAATGAACAATCTGTAGTCAGCGACTTGAGTCGACGAACAAACTGATCCAGATTTTCGCCAGATTCTTGTTTACACGTTGCTAACAAGTGTCGAGCAAACACTTCGTTGCAAGGCTGCATGTAGAGACTCTTGAGAGTGTCGATAGCTTCTTCGTATGTTTTGCATTCAGAAATGCATTCGTATACAGAAGTAGAAATATGATTGAAGAGAATATGTAGTTTCGAAGGATTTTCGGATCCCATTGATTCAATGAAGTAGGAGAAAGTCGCAAACCAGTGATCCCACTTCTTGGCAGCTCCAACTGCGTTAGGTTCTACGTCGAACCGGTCAGGTCGGAAAAATCGTTCCATGAATATTGTAAAATGAATAAATTGTTACGAAGGTGATTGAGTCTTAGAACGATGAGTGATGCTTGAATCTTGAAAAGACGAATGAACCAAGAATTTAGGCTTTATTCATTTTACAATGAAGCCGGAATGGCTTAAACATATAAAGGAAAAAAAGAGTGTTAATAGCGGTAGAGATATGAATATGACTAGATACGTATTATAAGAAGAGTTCACAACACCACCTACGATAATGGAACTAAGAAAACTAATCAGTTGTTATAGGTCGCGCTTGAGTCTGAAGGTAGAATTAACAACCTGACATTTGAAGGGATTAAGCGTAAGACCATATGAAAATGACAACTGACTGATTTCGGGTGAGAATTTATTCATTTTGAAACAATCTGACCTAGAAGTAACAAACTTAGAAACAGTCAAATTATCGGCGTACTTAACGCAATTTAAGAAACTGGCATAGGGTTTTCCAACTCAGATCTCTACTAATGACAGTATAATTATGTGGAAAGGTGAAGTACCTGAATGTGGAATAGTTCTAACAGTATGAAAGAAAGATGAAGCTAGGTGATGCAAGTGAATGCTTGGTGTGCATTGTGAGGTTGTTGATGGTCATTCGATATCGGCTATTCACATCACAGGAATGGATTTCCTGGAATCAGTGAAAATAAAGAATATTAGCGTTACGTGTGCCCAGAGGTTAAAAGCCAACTGATTGTGGCGGGCCACGCATCTCCCGCTTGCAGTTCTCTGTGGTTTCGTGACCTGACCCAGGAACAAATAGCCTCTTAATTACAAAATAAATTAAAACAATCGGTAGTTGTTAATAGTTCATCACTTCGGAACTCTGTACCAACCACGTGCAACTCTTTTGTACACAGCGAAAACCATATCATTTATTTGGGCTTAGCTCAACATCGGACTGACATTTCAACGGAAATGGGATTGAGACATTGTATCAAAAACAGACTCTATGTAAAGTTGGACATTTTAAGGATGGAACATCGGATAGTAAAATCATTTAGTTTTGAAGATGTTAACATCTGTCAATCATTGGAGTTTGCACAGTCTCTGCAGAAGTATCACATCATCCCAACTAGGTGCATTTTGTCTATTAATTTTGTAATTTGAATGCTGAATTGAATAATCATGTTTTATACGTATTCAGGCTGCCGCACACGTCAAACTGGTTGGGAGTGGATTCAGGATCTTTCTTGCTGCCTTCACAATCGCCAAGGTTATTAAACTGGGAGTTGATGCCCGCCGTTCCAATCGTTCTAATGCTAAAAATTCAAATACGCAACCAAAGGTAAGTAAAATATGTATACTACCACTGATCTCATCCTGTTTTTACGTGCATCTTTCACATAATCTGTCGTTCTTCATTGCCATTTATGATATTAGACAGATCACAAAATATGATCTGAATAAGTTTAGTTTCCAAAGGAAGCTCTTGAAGTTTCACACCAGACAGTATAAATAGCAAATGGCGAATTAGGTTCGATTTTGTGTTAATTTACCAGTGTCTAGAGGCTAGAAATGCTACTGATTAAGTTTATGTCATTGAACACCAGTTTTGGTAGTAGGCCAAATGGATGGTGATGGCCGAAGTATACATACATCGGATCTTCACAAAGATGCCGTTTTCGAGAAGACTGTCATGGTACCTTGACATTTAACAAATTGCGTTTATTTTAGATGTGTATATTTCACGGAATTAGGGTTGTGAGCAGTATTTCATGGCGAGTCAATGTTGATGTGTGATTGAAGTGCTGTCATCATAAAGGTGGAAGGTGTGGATAATAAGTTTAGAAGACATTTGAAGGCATTTCCTAGGTTAACGGTTGGTACTACAATTTCATGCTACTGAAAATATCCTGTTGTGAAGTGAGTTACTTTGCAGGGTTGGTATGTTCACTGATTCGGAAGTGATTAAAGTGTGTCTGTGACATGTGATAGGAACAAAACTGAGTTGGTTAGAGACTATTACGAGTTGTAACAACTGGTTAGCAGGCCTGTTTATTGGATTTAATCTGGGTTTTGTTTGTTTGTTTGTTGTAATGGGAAAAGCTTTGAGTCAAGAAATGTAGACATAGAAGTTGGAGATTTATTTGATGTCACCTCACTGGGTCGCTGTGATTGGCTTGAAGTTGAAGTTAAGTGATATTTTCGCGTTAAGATTTATTTTGATTGAGTAGATATGTTGATGGAGATATGTAGTTCAAATGGATAATATTGACGCTTCAGCTACTAGCTTTTTAAAAGCTTTCACCAGTTAGCTCTATTTATTCGCTATGAGTACGTTGACGAAGCAGTTAATTCTCCATGCGTTTTTCAGCTCTAAAGTTTCTGCAGCAATTATTTTGATTTTCCGTTTTGGTGACGCTGGCGCCATGTTTCCCACCTTTTCCGATCTTCGGACCGACTGGGAAACTAGAATACCAGTTAATTAAACGACCGGTTCTGAGTGAAGTTTACTTTTTAAGGATTGACATTTTAAAACTGAAATCACTGTGTTTCAAAGTCGATAACATCTTTTGAGTAATCGCCATTTTTTTCATTGTCTTCTGTAAGGAATATTAACATCGCTCTGCTTACATCAACATTGTCGTAATTTTGTAATTAGATTGGTGCATTGTGTCATTTTATTTTATGTGCGTGTAGGCCGAGAATTTGGTCGATGAGGCTGCGTTTGGCGTTGGTGTCCTAGGCCGTGCATTCTCGAAAGCTGCTCAACTAGAAATTGCGTTGTGTGAGATTGCTGCTCTTTTTAACCCATTCACTAGTAAAAAAGTTGATAAGCAAGCAGAGTCAAAGGTAAGTGAAACATGTTTATTACTCCATATCTCATGTGTCTTTCACATTGTCCGTTGGTCTGTCCACAGAATGTTACTTGACGACGATGAAACACGTGAATTCCATACTTGCATTTCATGTACTAGTAAAACGGTGCACTAAAGTTTCATGTATGTTTGAGCATTTTCCAGCCCTCATTCTTGTTGGTTGAGGGAGTAGGCATTTTAATAGACATATGGTCTAATTGGCAATAATTTTAAGAGTTTAGACGGTTGATATTTACTATTTGCTTAGGGGAAATGCCTGTACATGGAGGTAGCATACTTTTGTCAGATGAGTTTGGTTGTTGTGTTCTTCCAGCGTATTCTAACGACTCCAAGGTATCATTCGATGGCTTTTCTCAGATAAAAGTATAATTTTGGGACTGTGGTAGAGTATAATCCCAGCATGAATACAATTTGTATGACAAAGTCTGTCGGTGTTATACAGTAATACCTACTGATGACGTTTCCAGCACAAATTATTGCTCATTCCCATATCAAGGTACTCACACGATGTTTGGACTTCGTTCGTATAATTCCATTATTTCCCATCTCTCCATTTGATTAGTTGCAAGATTTTCCTCACTTGTAGTATCAGTGATATGTCATTTCTGTTGCATGTGTTGGGTGTAGATTGGATGAACAAAGATTCATTAATCAACCCCTCTCTCTCTCTCCATCTATCTATCTTGCCTTTTAGAATGATAACTGTGTCCCACCCTATTGTATGTAAATGCGGGGTCAGTCATTCTATATTTAGCTACATCCTCATGTTCTGGCTATTTGACTACCCCCGATCTACTGGCTATACGTATCTAGTTGACACTGCAGTCATTACAAGGTATTTTGTGAGTTATATTATTTTGTCTGATTGGGTCAATCAGGTCGTTTAAACCACAGCTTGTTCCTGAGTGAGTTTGTAGGTTTACATGCCATCCTAATTCCTGCTTTATTAAGCATCCTGCGTACAGTCGGAGATGTTCCCTCCTTATATGGTAAGACTGTGGATGCCTTATTTACGTTATCATTATTAGCTTCACTATTACTGTTATTATTATTATTTTATTTTCGAGCTACTTTGATCTTAATGAATTCTTTGAGATAGGATGGTCACTTAACATCAACTCTCTTTCTATCTGTTTCATTTTTTATCATTTCGGCTTTTTGATGTACCACTTAGTGTTATTGCTCTGTTTGTTCGACACTTAGGTAAGCCTACCTTCACAGATAACGGACGAGATGAATTAAAGTCTAAATATCTATTAGAATGCGTTGTTTTTTTATAAATGCTAGTGTGCAGTCTACCTTATTCAATTCGTTTTATTTTACAGTTTAACTTGCCTAATTCTCCTTGTTCACTTTCTAATTCATATGTGAATTTTATTCCCTTTACTACTGGGTTAGTGTGTGTCTGTGTGAAGCACCTTGAGATATGTTCTGCTTTGAACACTGTGAAAGTGTCATCCGCATATTCGCACTATATTTTTGGAGTAGGATTAAGTGTATTACTGCCAATCAAATCGAGAGATGAGAAATAATGGAATTATATGAACGAAGTCGGAGAGTTGTATGAGTACCTTGATATGATTATGAGCAGCAATAAATTGTGCTGGAAACGTCATCAGTAAATGTTACTGTGTATAACACTGAGAGACTTTATCATATAAGCTTTCCACAGACTTTTATTATCTGTTGCTGTAAGGAATAAATTCAATTGTGGTAATGCGACTTGATCATAGATGAGAGAAGTAGGTGATCACTGATATGTTGTCCCTGCATATTTCAGGTTGTCAGCGGAATTTGCATGGGTAATCTAAGTCCGTTGTATATTTCACCGTTGGTGAGTTCCTTTTCTTATAATTTCCTAAGCTATGTTTACTATTTTATACAAGTTTCTCCCTTGATGAACTTGAAGGAATGAAGAGCGACAATGTGAGTAGGAAATCATTTTATTGCAGTGGTGCTGGGATAGTTATATACAATTTTAATACTAAAACTGATAATCTAGTTATTAGTCATAACGATTATGGATGTTAATATCACATGATGAAATGGTATAATGGAAAGGAGGAATAAGAGTTGTCATTAAGCACGGTATCATATACACAAATAATTAGAAAAATATTCTTGAAGTGAATGTTGTCTGTTGAATATATGTATGAAATGGACAATAATTTAGTGGAAAAAAGCCGAAGAACAATCCGGTGAAGAGTATATATGAAGCCAAAATTAAGGGTATGGAATGACAAAATGCAATTATATGGTCAGTAATATCGTAAGTGAACTGGATGTGGTTATGGGAGCAGATCGATTGAGATGGCTATGTCAGGTGACACTCGCGTGGAGTGACAGTCTTTCTTGTCATGCAGTGTTAACCGACATCTGGTTGGTTTGTAAAAGAGTAAGTGATGGTGAAACCGAAACCTGGTATCAGTCCATAAAACCTTTGACAGTGTAGACTGCCTGGTTAAGATACCCCGGATATGAAGAACCAGTGGCTTGAGAGTGTCAGTAATGTGGCTTAGAATCGTTCTCATTGGTGCAGATATATTCATCCTGTGTAACCTTTCAGGTCGATTGAAACTTCATGTTTTCGACATGATAGAGAAGATTTGTAGCTCAGGTGGATGATTTTGATGTACGCTGAAGATGTCACTTAGTAGGGTGATGAAAGCTTCGCAAATCAACCATCCAGCTCAGAGAACACAACTTCATGTTTTCCCATGTCACTTTTGTTTCTCTCACACATTTGCGTCCATTACAGTCCATTTGAATTGTTTCTTCTTCCTCCTGCATGCATTTTAAGGCAACATACTTTTGTCAATCCTTAAAGTTTGTAAAGTCATTTGTGGTGAATACTGGCATCAGTCCACCTAGTTGAATATTGTGTCGTATTTTGTAATTGTATTAGTGCATTGTATCTTTTTGTTTTGTGTGTGTGTGTGTGTGTGTGTGTGTGTAGGCGGTGAATTTGGTGGATAAAGCTGCGTTTCGTATTGGTGTCTTGGGCCGTGCATTCTCGAAAGCTGCTGGACTAGAAATTGCGTTGTGTGAGATTGCAGCTCTTTTCAATCCGTTTACTAGTAAAATCCCTGATGAACAACCCGAATCCAAGGTAAGTGAAACGTGTTTATTACTACATATCTCATGTTATTTTCACAATGTCCGTTGATCTGTCCACAAAATGTTAAATGACGGCAATGAAACACGTGAATACCAAACTTGTATTCCATGTTAGTGTGTGTGTGTGCTCTCTGTTAGGACGGACTAACTAACTTTGTCAACTGTAAGATCGTGATTGATGCAGTCAATTAGATATTGGTTGTTTAATTCTTGACATATCTGTTGACGCGTAATGAATAGTGTACTCTGCATTTGTGGATAATAAAAGTCGTCTCTGTCAGTCTGACTTATAACTTACGTCAGTGTGTGGGAATATTTCCAAGTGATCAGTTGGATGTATACATTATCGTGACTGGAGTTACACAACGACCGTCAACAAATGACGAACACTGTATTACAACACTTTCATACATACTGAAAGGTGTACGTGTAAAGTAATTAAAGAATGTACTGAAATTTCATTCATGTTGTCCTATTTTCTAACACACAATCTGTTGGTTGAGGAAATAGGGATTTTAATAGATCTTTGGTCATATTTTCAGTATTGTTAGAAGTTTAGACGGTTTGTTTTCTTCCACGTTGCTTCCAAAGATTTCCAATGTCTTCGTATTTTTCCTGATGACTGCTATGATTTGTACCTTCGTGCTTTAGTTTCAAACTATTGAACTTGAATTGTGATCTGTTTTCAAATTCTTTGAAGGATTTCCACTTTGTGTTCATGGTTCTATGGACCAGCTAGTGATATAAAGCTACATCTCCTTTTTCAATCTTACGCACAGTAGGTTGCATTTCTGCATTTTTGGTATTGAGGTAACGTCTATTCGATTTTGAGTATGTCTGTGTGGTGGAACTCCGATCACCTTGCATTCATAGCACCTCTTATAATTTGAAATCGCCATCTGGTTGCGTTCTATTCCATTACTGCTTTTAGTCATCTGTTGAAGGCCTTAGTGTCCACTGGGTCAACGTTGTTTGTAGAAGTGTAGCATTGTATAATTGTATTTCTTCCTTGCTTCCTTTTGAGTGGAATCTTACTGTCATTGACTCTGCAGTGAACAGTCTTTAAAGTCCACTCCCGTTCCATTGGCTGTCACAGATTCCTAGCACTTTCACATGGAATATTCTATCATTTCTCTTGCAACCTGAGCAGCTTTACCAGCCTCAAATATGCCTGAGACATTCCATACCGCTATGCTTACTTTTACTTTCACGGGAATAAAACGCATACGCCCACCGGCTTCACAAAGACTTTAGCCTATCCGTGTCATCTGTCTCCTCAAATTCCAGCAGAGATTAATTTTATTTTTGGTGTGCTTAAGATGTTTCATTTCCTATACGAGGTGTGTATGTTGCTGGTCACATACTCAACCTCCCTTACTACTTTTCGATAGTAGGGTAATCTAGTAAATTACATATGTAGGGGACTGTTACCAGAGTTCATTAACATTACAAATATGAGAATAATAATCCTAGTCAATGAAACGTTAAATAACAATATATTACCAAAAATGCAATAACGAGTTATATCAATAAAAAGGATTACTTGGATATAAAGTTTAAGTCCTATGCTACAAATTATTTATATAATTCACGGGAACATTAACTGTTGGGTTTGTGTCTGCTGTAGATGCTGTGTGCTGGATGTAGAATTGTCTTCAGTTGAGGATAGTAGACTCCTACAATCAATCCAAAGTATACAACACGGTATGAGTGGAGCAAGTAAGCAGAAATGGCCAAGAGGAAGGCGAAGACTCCAACAGTATAGTCTACTTTCAATTGTGCACGGAAGTTATATACATTTTAACAAGAATCGTTTTAAACAAAATCATGTACAATATTTCTAATTTCTACAAATAACCAAAAAATGTACAATCATATTGTTACGTACTTCACACACACATGGTTAAAAAACTATAAGTAAGACATTATTTCCGTGAGAAATTTGTGCGACGTTCGACTTTCCTGGAATTTCGCTTTTGTGTGGAAGATTATTTTATTTTAAAGACGATAACACCTTTCAGATAATCTTTGAAATTTCGTAGTCATCTGCAATGAATGCTCATATCACTCCACCTGTGTTAATGACGTAATTTCATTGGTGCATTGCATTATTTTATTTCATCTGCATGTAGACTTGGAGAACTTTGGAAAAAGTTGCACTTGTCACTAGGTTATATGTTTTAGGCAGTACAATCTTCTCCGGTGTAAAAACAGGATTTATTTCTCACCTGAAATCAGCGAAAGCATAATTTGCTTATTGATATCATTCAAGTACTCATTCACAATCTAAGGTAAGTGAAACATGTTTATTACTGCATGTCTCATATAATTTTCACTTGTACGTTCTACATTGTGTCCGTTGGTCTGTCCACATGACAACGATGAAACACGTGAATTTCAAACTTGTATTTCATGTACACTAGTAAAACAGTGTACGAAAATTTCATGTATGTTTGAGCATTTTCCAGCTCTCATTCATTCTGTTGGTTGAGAAAGTAGGGATTTCAGCAAAAATTTAGTCAAGTTTCTAAGAATATTAAAGCTCTATGTAGTCTTATGTTTCCTCCGCTCCTTTGGTACTCAATTTATCAGACTGGGGAAGTATAGGTTACAGAGGTCATTCCCTACTGTAATCCATCAGAAAATATTTTGTCTTTCAGTCACGGTGATATATAGGTATTTATGCGGAGTTTACCTATCCTTTAGAGAATAGTGTGGATTCGAGTGATAATTGGTCCAGTCCAACATAAAAGCGGGATAGTTTTATTGACATGTGCTAAGATGAGTCCTGATAATAATTATTGTTTTAACATATGATGGTGTTTATCAAGACATTCGTTTTGTCCGCTTGATATGCACAGATTTGTGCTAAAGTGTTAATGGTGAATTTTTGGAGTGAAGTCGATCTCTGGTTCGTGTTTGTGGCAAATACAAGAACTACCGAGGTGTTGTTGCTTCTGAGATGTTTCAATTTTGAATTATAGTGTATTTATTGATTGAGATAATCTATCTGTGTCACTATTTAGGCCCATAAACAAAAAGGACAAAAATTTAAGTGATCCTGATAGTAGATCGCTTGTTGGTGGATATTTCTATCGAATAGATGTAATTAATCATGTAAATTCATATGTGAAAATCACGACAATCGTCTCAGAAGTCAAAGTATAGTAATGTGTAATTTTTTGAACAGAGGTAGAACAAACATTGGTGGGAAATAATATAGGTCCATTCTGTTTCGTTGGTTCTCGTCATCTGCGTGCAACCTATAGTATTTAGTAAAGTCAGTTATAACACAAAGTACCATATATTTTCATTATCATGATGAATCGGTGCTCCAGGAAGGATTGTTATAAGAAGGTCATGGTGGAACCTGCATCTGTGCGGTTATCAGTAGTCCTCTAATCATGGCATCGTTGTGTATAGTACTTACATTTTTCCGCATGGAACGCAGGGCTTCAAGCTGGAGCTTTAAAGTTTCGGTAGCAGTGGCTTTATTTTTACAGGGCGGGGTTGTTGGCCTCTCGCCCAACCCCCCTTTACCTTCTTACCGACTTTACTACTAGATTAGCGAGGTTTAGGAGTCCGAAGGCGTGGAATGGAACCCCGAATCACATGCGTGGTTGGTGCGAGCATTCTACCATTGAACCACCGACACACCATAGTACCTACAGGATGAGTTAATTTATTCTGTTTAAGTGGCAGTTAAATCTTGAAGGAGAACTAAAAGTCTGTAAATTTTGACCAGCTCTATCAAGCGACTATGTATTGCGATACCTACTTTAGTCCTATTTGACTCATACTTACAGGATTTCACCGTTAAGTAGTGTGACAGCAGAACACTGCCTATTGGATCAAACATACTGCTTTGGGTTTCATAAACTGACAGTTTGATGGGAATAAAAGTCAAATATTGCTCGAAGTTGTATAATTGGGATATCTTTTCAAAATGTTGGATGTATTCTTGAGCCTCCTGTAAGTGTTCAGCTTACAAAATACTCAAGTCTTCATTCTGACCAATTGTTCACCGTTAGTGTTAGTGATTTTTCTCACTGACACTAAGAGACTGGGATTTGCAGCAGCAATTGATTGCAGTCAAAAGGGATAACTTCGTGGCCTATGAGGTAGTCTCCAAAATAGGAATTCGGGGACGGAGTATTTCTGCTTTAAACGTTTAAGACTGTCACATCACATGCAAAGTACAGTTTTCATCTGAAATACCTCTTGTGCGTCGGTGGCACAGTGCTTAGGACTCTCGCCGACCATGCACATGGTCCGAGGTCCGATCCCCTGCCGACGCACACCCGATATCTATGGTCGGCCTACAATATTTGGGCTACCGATATCACATGCTGAAAATTCCATACTTGTAACAAAAATACGGTATGAAATCAAGCTGTAATCAAAAATTAAAATCAAATAATTTTTAAAAGAATGGTTACTGAACAAAGAGTACTCTTTTCGATAAATTCATCTTCAGGCTCTACATTTATACATACATTATAGTGAATGGATGAGTTAGTGTTATAAACGACATTAATGCTGTTCAAATAACATCGAATCAATAATATTGATAGATTACAGCTGAATCGCATCAACATAGAATAAGTTGAATGTCAGAAACATTAGGAAAGATAATGGTACAAATTCATGGGTTTATAGCTTCTACTGAAGGCCAAGGTAATAGTAGGGGCTGAACTTGCTTCTTTTGGACACAGAGTGCTGGTCGTTTGAGGCGAATCGCAATAACCTCTGCTGTTTGGAGCCTGCGGTGCTTCGATGTTTTTGGTAATTTTTTTGGCACCCGGTATAATATAGAGAAGGATTCATCTACGCTGGCTTTGTGTCCTGCTTGCACCAGATGTTCCAATATCGAGCTGTTAATAGTTTTCACTACACCTTTACTTAGCCATGCTGGGAGATATTCTCGAGCACGAAAAATCAAGTTCCTAGAGCAACGGCCAATATAACTGGCTCCACAAGCGCAGTTAAATTGATAGATACAATTAGAAGTGGCTAGTCTAGGTACTTCATCTTTCAGTCGAGGAATCACCATCGGTCGTGTAGAGAATTTTTATTTTACACAACACGTTGGACGAATTGTCACACAAGAGTTTGAGTGAAACAGTACAAAAGAGTACGAAAGAGTGTAAAAGTGTGCATTAACTGTACTATACAGGAGTATAGATGAAAATAACTAACATACATAAACCAATGAGACAGACAGTAGGTTTGCTTATCACCACTGGATTTTTATTGGTTGTAATGTCATTTGAAAAAGGTCATATATTATAAATGTCCAAACCAAGTTCACTTTTAACGGTTTGAAAAAATTTGGGGATTGGGTATGTGATATTCACTATAATAAAAGTTTTTGTATTTTACTGACGTTTCGCTATTTAATGCTAATAGCTTTATCAAAGTATTATTAAACCGGAATTTACAAAATCTCAGCATATATATATATAGCAAAGAGTTAAGGGGTGAGGAAAATAGACTTAGTTCAACTTAAAAGGACATATTGAAAGTCAAAATAACAATGAAGATCACTAACTAAGATAACTAAGAAAATAAACTGTGTATCTCCCAAAATCCAGTTCACTTCGCAAGCAGAATCAGACATCAGTGAACTACCATTTCTAGACTGCCTCGCTAGTTAGGAGAAAGGAAAACGGACATTTTAGTATATCCATATTCAGGAAGAAAACCCACTCCAATAAATATTTAGACTTCAAATCATCACACCCCATCAGCGCAAAGATTTCAGTTGTTTCAAGTTTTCCTAGACGAGCACACTCTCTGATAACGGACGAGAAAGGAAAAGTAGGAGAAATATCAAACATTACTGAAATCCTCAAGCAAAACAACTACCCAAGGAACTTCACTAAAAAAATCAACACAGACATTAAGTATGGCCGAAAATGCATTCCGAAAACATGGACTTCAACAGTCGTCATTCCATGTAGAGCAGAGACGTCAGACGATATCAGAAGAGTACTCAATCAGCTCGACGTTAGAGCTTTCTTCAAAACATCGGACACACTTCAAAACAACCTTGTCCATATAAAAGACCAAAACCCTAAAGATTCTCTATCTAATTGGGTCTATAAAATAAAATGCTCAGAATGTGATGCGATCTACATCGGACAAACATCTCGAGAAATCAAAATCAGAAGAAATGAACACCGTAGAGCATCTCTTCGACCACCAAGAAATCCAATTGAACTAGGAAAACTTCAAAAATCATCAGCCATAAGTCTACATGCTATAGAATCAGGCCACAAAATTGATTTTGACAATATTGAAATAATCCAGAAAAACTTCAGAAACCACAAAGGGCGTCTAATATCAGAAGCATTTCATATCAAGTGGAATACAAATTGCCTGAATAGGAATGATGGACTAAAACAGAATCTGACCTGGCTACAACACCCCCCTCCCCCATGAGGTAGCAAAATCAACACAAATGTGATAAGCAAGTTCACTATGTAAACACACACTACTTTCATAATTCTACACACTGACAAAATCCAACAATCTACACTTGATTTTGTTATCTCTATTAATTCGCCAATTTGACAAAATAAAACGACCCAGACTGACAAACGATGATCAAGTATTTCACAGCCTACACTTAGTTTGGTTACCTTTACCTATTCTCCAACTTGACAACAAAAAACGACCCAGACTGACGAACGATGATCAAGTTAGTAAACTTTATTTTGATATAATAACAGATATACTATTACCTTTGATATTTGGTTTGAACGATCTTCATTGTTATTTTGACTTTCAATATGTCCTTTTAAGTTGAACTAAGTCTGTATTTTTTTCTCACCCCCTAACTCTTTGCTATATATATATGCTGAGATTTTGTAAATTCCGGTTTAATAATACTTTGAGAAAGCTATTAGCATTAAATAGCGAAACGTCAGTAAAAACAATCTCGTTTTGTTTTTTCATTCATTGGGAAATACAAAAACCTCTATCATAACAAGTGTAGATTGTTGGATTCGATCAGTGTGTAACATTATAAAAGTAGTGGGTGTATGCATACGGAACTGTCTGTCTGTCTGTTTTCGACATAGAACTTTGCACAAATGTGCGGAAGTTCAAGTCGCCACATTCCGTGTAGCACGCGAAGCAAGAGAAGAAAGTACAAGAAAAGCATAATAGAAACAGTGAGCAGAGGTGTGAGACAAAGGAGTAATAAAGAAATACAAAACGGTTTCATTGAAGATCATAAGTCGCAAGGAGTGGATACATCTGCGCTAGCCATTGAGAACGATTTTGAGCCATGTCACCAATTGTTTCCAACCATAGATTTTTACCGTCCCGAGGACCCCAGCCTGGAAGTCTACACCTTTCTACGTGGCTTAGACCAACTGTTGTGGATTTCATTGACTGATGCCAAGTTTTTGTTTGACCGCCACTAGCTTTTTTCCAGCCTGACTCTATATCCGCTAACATTGCTCGTCGAGGGAGGCGATGGCTTGGCATACGTAACACATGTCCTAACCATCTCAGTCTTTGTAGCTTCACGACTTCGTCGATTGATTTCCCCTGTTTACCTAGAACTCTACGCCTAACCTCCATGTTGCTCACCTTATTATGCCACTTTACACGGGAAATAGAACGCAGGCACCTATGATCAATGACAGCTAGTCTTTTCATGTCTTCCACTCTCAGTGACCAGGTCTCACAACCATAAAGGAGGACGGAGTGGACTGATGAGCAGTACACCCGCCCTTTGGTCGATAGTCGAACATCTCGTCTACGCCAGAGTCGGCGTAAACTAACAAATGCGAAACGAGCCCCTTGTATTCGTGCTGAGATTTCGTCAGAGATCAGCCCGTTGGGGCTGATGGTACTTCCCAAATAAGTGAAGCGGTCAACGTGCTCTACCACTTCACTTCCTATTTTTAAACTAGGTGTCGATGTAGTCCAGTCCTGTAACATCATCTTGCATTTGGCGGGAGCGAATCGCATGCCATACGGAACATATTGTGAGTTATAATGGAATAACGATCAATATACACATAGTAAAATATATCATACTGTCAGAACAAAGCAGACATCATGTGACTAGATATCAGTTTTACACAACCCGCTGAACTAACTGTCACAAATAGGGAGTGAGATGAAAGTCTGAGTCATACTACTCGTACCGCACGAAGTAGTTAACTTGTTAACTAAACTCTAATCCTAAACACCATAATTTTGAAAATACGTCAAATCATAAAATTCTAGATACTAACAGTTTGAACAGACATGACGCATAGAAAATCCTGATTAATAAATAAGAATGGAAATGTATCACTAACTAATAGTACTTGGTCAAAGTTCCCGACCGTCTATATCTACTTATGGAGACGTTAAGACATTGTTTTACAACTGTTTATCCGCACGTACACATACACTGTTTAAAGTGTTTAACAAAGGTAGATCAATATTTGTAAGTCTGATGTCAAATTTTGATCACAACTCGTACAATTTTGTTTATTATACTTGTTTTATGACTCATGGTTGGACAAAGTTTTTGAAAACAAGAGGTGTTCCTTTTAGACATAAACCTATGTTTTGTTAATTTCGATTCTGTCTGTTCTGGCGTGATTTCGATTAATTTCCCTGAAGAAGTTCGGACCAGATTGCCGAACGAAACGTTGGAATTAATCATTTCAATTTCACTGAGATTTTACAAATATAATTTTTTACAAATAGTTAACTTGTTGTTTTAAATATTTCTAAGAATGTAGAATAAATAAATGACTATTGTTGTTATTACTGATACCAGTTCTTTTACCGTCATTATTTCCATCAGAATTGTATTCACTGACAATATTATTGTCATTAGTATAAACGTTATCACTACTAATATTTATGATTGCTTAGTTTACTGACTCATGTGTACTTTTAAATTTATTATTGCAGCACGCTGACTGATTCATTGAACATTGCAGAAGAAAAAATGAATGATACTATTGCCATAGCGTACATTTAATTAAAAGATTTTCTCATTGAGCATTTTTTAAATCAACATATCTGCTATAAAAGTTCTTCATGATTGTAATAAACCATTTTGATTAAAGCCATTTGATGTCGAGTGTAATTTTCTGAGTGAAATATGTTTATACAAATGGTGTATTGATGGGCAGGGATGATACCACGTTGCTGTAGTATGCGTATATAGCCCTCCAAATGCATATGCACTTATGTGTGGCTTAGACCAGAGAGCAGTAAGTAAGTCTAGTCAGATGAACAATTAGGTTGTACAGAATACGAAATATATATTGTATCCCTCCAAAGGAGCGTGTAGTAGGCATCATCCGTTTGCATGAAAGACCTTCAAATTTTTCGAATATTTTCCTTACTACAATCCGTTTGGTTGACTGTTTAATGTTATA